AGGAAAGAGCCTGCCATAGAGGCGGGGAGAAGGAGGGCAGGAGGGATATGGCCCTCTGAGCTTCATCAGGAGTGATCCTTGAGCACAGGGCCCAGATTAAGTTCTCTCTCTCTTTTTTTTTCTTTTTGGGTTACACCAAGCAATGCTCAGAGGTAATTCCTGGCTCTGCACTTAGGAAGTATTACTGGTGGTTCTTGGGGGACCACATGGGATGCCGGGGATTGAACCCCGGTTGGACGTGTGCAAGACAAATGCTCTACCCACTAAACTATAGCTCTGGCCCCAGATTAAGTTCTAAGCACTGCCAGGTATGGTCCCAAAACAAAACAACAACAAAAATTAATCAGATGAACAACCAAGACTCTTCAATAAGTCATGAGTAATAAAAGAGAAAGGGAGAGAAAAAGAACTGTTCCAGATATGAAAATGATAGTTATCAAATGCAATGCAGACTATAAATAGAAATAAGACAAAAATAGTTTTAAAAGACTGAAAAGGGGGGCTGGAGAGATAGCACAGCAGGTAGGGCATTTGCCTTGCATGTGAATGACCCGGGTTCGATTCCCAGCATCCCATATGGTCCCCTGAGCACCGCCAGGAGTAACTCCTGAGTGAAGAGCCAGGAGTAACCCCTGTGCATCGCCAGGTATGAGCCAAAAAAAAAAAAAAAAGAAAGACTGAAAAGGGGGTCAGAGCAATAGTACAATGGGTAGGGTGTTTGCCTTGCATGCAACTGACCCAGGTTCAATTCCTGGCACCCTATGAGCACTGTGAGGAGTGATCCCTGAGCACAGAGCCAGGAATTAGCCCTGAGCACCACCAGGTGTAGCCCTAAACCAAAAATAAACCAAAAAAAAAAAAAAAAACAACAAAAAGACTGTGGGGGATGACAAGGAAATTTTGATAAGATTTGGGTATGCAGAGGAATTATGTCCAGTGTGATATTGAGTTATGCAAGAAAATGTCATTCATGGGGCTGGAACTATAGTACAGCAGGTAGGGCGTTTGCCTTGCAGCGGCCAACCCGGGTTTGATCCCTGGCATCCTATATGATTCCCCAAGCACTGCCAGGAATGATTCCTGAGTTCCCCAAGCACTGCCAGGAATGATTCCTGAGTTCAGAGCCAGGAGTAACCCCTGAGCATCGCTGGGTGTGATCCTCCCTGCCAAGAAAAGTCATTCTTATCAGTAGTAAAATGCAAGGAATAAAAGCAGGCAGAACAAATATTAACATATTTTTAAAAAAACCATATTCACCTGTTTACAGAAGTTCAATATGGTATTTCCTCTACATTTCTGGATATTTGAAATTTTTCATAATAAAAAAATGAAGCAAGTGGCCAGAGAGACAATACGGGGGCAGGGGGTTAAGGCGCTTGCCATGTACGCAGCCCACCTGGTTTCTATCCTAGGAATGGCATATGATCCGCCAAGCACCATCACAAACTGATCTCTGTGCAAAGAGCCAGAAATAAGCCCTGAGCCCTGCCAGCTATGCCCCCAAACAAAAATATTCTGGCAGAGAAGGTCCAGGTATCTACAAAAGCAAATACTTATACATATGCAAAAACATATATATATATACATATATATATTTTTAAACCACATATGGTAGCAAAGTGCACAACCTCTCTGCACTTTCCCTCTACCCCCACCACTTAATAGATCTGGGGAGTCAATATTATTTGCACAGAGATGGCTGGCTCATTCTAACAGATGCATTATTTATTTAACCAGTTGTCTATTGATGAACACATAATTCTCATCTCTTGACAAACTCAGATTTCAAAATAAAAATTGGGGAAAAAAGTCCCAACTGGGTCTGGAGCGATAGCACAGCGGGTAGGGTGTTTGCCTTACACACAGCCAACATGGCCGATCCAGGTTCGATTCCCAGCATCCCATATGGTCCCCCGAGCACCGCCAGGAGTAATTCCTGAGTGCATGAGCCAGGAGTAACCCCTGAGCATCGCCGGGTGTTACCCAAAAAGCAAAAAAAAAAAAAAAAAAAAAGTCCCAACTGACTACGGTTTCAAATACACACTGAGCAAGCCGGATGTGTAACTGGAGTATTCATATGTAACTTGTCTGCCTAGATGCCTTTCATTTTCTTAGGTATATAAACTAATCCTGAACTTCAAATTACTAAATACTTATACTTCTCACTGAGCCTTCCTGATCCCAGAATCAAGTAATCTATTGTCTACCACTATTCCTTGTCTAATGCAGGAGGCTTCAGACACAGACGTTCCAAGAAATTTAAAAAGGAAAAGCTGGTAATTATTGTACATCTAAATTTCTCCTTTTTTTGTTTTTGCTTTTGGGCTACATCAAGTAATGCCCAAGGCTTGCATACTCCCGATGGTGCTTGGGGGACAATACAGGGTGGCAGGGATCAAACCCAGGTTGGCTGTGTGCAAGGCAAGTGCCCTATCAGCTATACTATCTCTCCAGCCACTCATTTTTTCTTTTCTTTTTTTAATCAAAGCAACTGGTTCTGAACTAACCAGATCACTGTCACTGTCCTCCTGTTGTTCATCGATTTTCTTGAACAGGCCCAGTAATGTCTCCATTGTTGTTACTGTGTTTGGCATATCGAATACATCCCGGGTAGCTTGCCAGGCTTTGCCGTGCGAGCGAGATACCCTCAGTAGCTTGCCGAGCTCTCCAAGAGGGGCGGAGGAATCGAACTCGAGTCAGCCATGTTGGCTGCGCGCAAGGCAAATGCCCTACCGCTGTGCTATCACTCCAGTCCTGACCAGACCAGATCAGACTACTTTATATTCTATAACCACCTTACCAACCACTTTGAAGTTCACTTCAAAAATCATCGAGGGAAAGTTAGATACATGACCAAACATAACAGCCTCTCAGTATCTGTATTTCAAGTCATAATGCCCAAAGGTAGAGAGAATAAAAGGAAAGTGCCTGCCATAAAGGCAGAGGGAGGAGTAGGATGTGGGGGGGTGCAGGAGGAGGGGAAGTGATACTGGAGACATTTGGTGGTGGAAAATGTACAACGGTAGAGGGATGGGTGTTCAATCATTGCATGACTGAAACTCAATCATGAAAGCTTTGTAACTCTATCTCAATTAAAAAAAATTAAAACAACTAGGGCACTATGTGGATGGCATTGCTTATAATGATTCCCCTGGGCTCAAACACAAAACCCCCTCCCCCCAAAAAATAAAACAGGGAGGATAGTACAGTGGGTACACTGGGTAAGGCACTGACCTTTCTTGCAGCCAACAAAGTTCAATCCCCAGTACCCTATATGGTTCCCAAGTGGAGAGCCAGGAGTAACCACTGAGCATTGCCAGGTATAGCCCCAAAATAAAAAAAAATTTTAATTAAAAAAAAATAAACAACAACAAAAACCCATCTATTGGGGGCCTGAGAGACAGTACAGCAGTTAAGATGGCTGCCTTATACATGGCTAACTCAATTCAATCCTGGCACAGATATGGTCCCTGGAGCTGACCAGAAGTGATCCACTGAGCACTGAACTAGGAGTAAGCCTTGAGCATAGCAGGGTGTGACCCAAAAACAAGCAAATAAAATTATCTTTATTAAGGGTTTCACCTTTTATGGACTCAATAATTAATTCTGGAAACAATTGTAATGTCGATACATCTCAGAATAAGTATTTAGACTATGTAACAGGAAAGGGTAGATTTTGATATTATGTCAATTTCACCACTTACCCTAGCTATGTTAGCTTAAGCCAATTACCATCAAATTCTGAGTGACCTCTTCTGAAAGAGCTCCCCAAAAAACCACCTTCCTAGGGCCAGAGCAGTAGTAGAGCAGGCAGGGCTTTTGCCTTGTACTTGGCCAAACTGGATTTAATCCCAGATTCAATTCTTGGTATCCGACATGGTCCCCCAAGGATCCCCACCCAAAAGTGATCCCTGAGCGCAGAGTCAGAAGAAAACCCAGAGTACAGCTGGCTGTGACTCCCAAAGAAAACAAAACAAAACAAAACCCCACCTTCCTCTAAAAAAATACCTGATTGTGTGTGTGGGGTGTGTGTGTGTGTGTGTGTGTGAGAGAGAGAGAGAGAGAGAGAGAGAGAGAGAGAGAGAGAGAGGACAAAAGACAGAACTAAGAGAATCCAGCATGCATGTAGTTGGTGCTAAGTAAATCTTAATTGAAGCTACATAGTATCCTATAGTATCCTCCATCGATTCATTCTTACCAAACTTGAGGATGAGGATTAAAACAAATTTCAAGATTTCCCATGAAGTGTAGAATACTAGGCTTTTACCAAGTATTCTAAATTTTGACTGAGTAAATAAGATGCAAAGTCCCCTATGGTAGATAAAGTTCTGGTGTACTAGTTAAGAGAACTTCCCTTAAGTGGGATGGTTGTCCCAAGTTGCTAAGAACCACAAAAATCTCAAACTTTCCAACAAGATGGCTTAATACTCAACAGATGAAACTGTTGAACACATGAACAGATTTAAGAGCGCGGTGCAAAAAGCAGCACCTCCCCGTAATTCTGCTCCGGATCCGAGTTAAACATTAATTGATACATAGTAAGTACTCCACGATTCGTAGTTGTTACTAAGAAGCTTCTCACTGCTACTGAAGGCACAGGATGAAAAAGCACGGGGGCTGTCAATCAGGAGAGGACGAATGGTGCTCCAGGCCTGAAACCTGTACCTCTTAAAGCAGCCGGGTCCGTGAGTTCCCCGCGGCACCGGGGGCCAAAGGAGGTCAGCGGCCTCCCCCAAAGGTCAACACTCTGCAGCCACGCTTCCTCCAGGGAGCAGAGTAGGAACGCCCCCGCGGGAATCTGTACCCCGAAGCCAGAAGCATCGACTGCCCGTAAACCCGTACCGACTCCCGGGAAAGGAGAGCCGGTGGCCACGGCGCCGCAGCCCGCGGGAGCACGGACCCGGCCGCGCTCTGCAGCCCCGAACCTCCCGAAAGGAGCAGCCCACCCGCACCTTCCGGCTCCCGTCCGCCTCCGCACAGACCAGCCCCTGGATACTCACACTCACAGCCGACCCCTCTTACTCCATCAGGTCGCCGAGGCCCCGGCGAGGGAGCTCCCTGATCCCCACGATCCCCCTTCTCTGTTTTGGGTCCGGCAGCCCGCTCCGGACCCGCTCCCCGCCGGGCACCGCCGCCGCCGCCAGCGCGCAGGCGCACACCGCGACCGTCGCGCTCTTTTTTTTTTTTTTTCCTTTTGCGCTACGCCTTTCTCAATAATCTAGCTTTATTTGAACACACAAGGGTGAACAACGGACACAGCAGAGACGCTTAGAGGAAGAAAAGCGAAAGCAGGTCGGCTAGCGGAAGAGTTACGCCGCTGCACTGGGCTCTTGTGACCAGCTCCTGGTTCCTTTTCCAGCAGGCTCTTCCGGGTCTCACTCCGGCCCCTGTGTCAGCGGCAACTGCTTAAGCTAAACTTCAAGCCGGTTCAAAACTGTAAAACTTAGTAGAAGATGCAAGAGCTCTAGAACAGATTCACCTGAGTCCAGATCCTGAGCCAAGCTGCTAGTAATTTATGTGAGGGAAAATTGGGATTTGGGGATCTCTGTTTCCTTAAAATTAGAATATTTTTCATGATGTTGCTAAAATAAAAAGGAATAGCATTGGTCAACTACCTATCAATGAATATTGTCTATTAGAACAGACATTGGATCAATACTAAATATTATATTTGTTCAACTTAACCATGTTCATTCCCCTGAGATCCCATTTTACTAAAATAAGTCAGATAAACCAAAGTATATTAAAGCAGATGAGAAGAATTACTATTGTACTGTTGAATTTCTAATAATAAATTTAACTAGACGTTTGTGTAAGCAAATCAAAAAGCAACTGCCACCATCTATGTAAAGGTAAAGGTAAAGGCCCTCCCGTTGATTGTGGATTTGCTCCAGCGGGCCCAGTAACATCTCGATTGGAGACTTTGTTGTTACTGTGTTTGGCATATCGATTACTCGATAGCTTGCCGGGCTCTCCGAGAGGGACAGAGGATTCGAACTGGGGTTGGCCATGTTGGCCGCTTGTAAGGCGAACGCCCTACCGCCATCTATGTGTAAATACAAATTTGCTTCTAAAGGATTGAGTAACTGTTCCAGTTCTGTATTTGTGACATCACAAGTTCTTGAAACACTCATAGTCTGGGAAGTTGCTCATTCTGTTGTCCTCTAAAGGCTTGCAATGAAAGAATGGCTTTATCCTATTAGCTTGAGGTCACAAGGAGAGAAGGAAAAACCCACAGAAGATCAAAGTCAGCTCTTGGTGAGCATCAAGACCATTCCTCACACGGGTATCTTCAATTGCCTTTACATTACACACTCTTAAAATTTGCCTGTTGTGCCCTTCTCATTCTTTATTCAAGTTCTTTCTCTTGGTTGTATCTTCCTATCATATTCAAGTTTCTCTTGTTCTAATTCTCACCTTTTAAAAAAGAAAAACATCAGAAACAAGACATTTGCTCTCATCGTCCTCTTTCCCTCTTCCCCCGTAAGGCCAAATCTTCTAAATGTTTTCTATTGCCTGTCTGTGTTTGTATCTGATCTACTCTCTCTAAAATCCCACAGTCTTTCAACTTTTTTGTGCCATCACTTAGCTTTCACTAAGAATACCAATTACCTGTTTTGTTAAATTGAGAAGGTATTTCTTAAGATATTTATTTTATATATTTACTTATTTATTTTTTGGTTTGGGGACGACACCTGGTGCTGCTCATGTGCTACTTCTGGCTCTACATTCAGGAATCACTCCTGGTGGGCTAAGAGGACCATGTAAGATGCCAGCATGCAAGGTAAATGCTTGCACACTGTACTATCACTCTGCCTCCAAGCTTCATCTTTCTTGCCCATTGGAAATAGACTATTTCTTTTTGGAAACACTCTTTTATCATACTGGATTTTTTAAAACTTTTCCTCCACCTTTAAAAAGTTCATTTTAGGGGCTGGAGTGATAGCACAGCGGGTAGGGCGTTTGCCTTGCACGCAGCCAACATGACCGACACAGGTTCGATTCCCAGCATCCCATATGGTCCTCCGAGCACCGCCAGGAGCAATTCCTGAGTGCATGAGCCAGGAGTAACCCCTGAGCAGCGCCGGGTGTGACCCAAAAAGAAAAAAAAAAATTCACTTTGCGGAGGTGGAGTTTCTTTTTTATGGTTCCAGTGATTAAAAACACTTTTGAGATAATATTGATTTACATTATTGGTTTTTCTGGGGTTGGGGGGGGGGGGGGATGCGCAGACTCATTGCTCACAGGGCCACTCCCAGAGTGCTAGAGGACCATGCATTGCCAGTAATGAAAACCAAAGCTCTTCTGTGAGAAGCATGCATTCCAGCCATTTAACCATCACCTTTAATCTTTGTTTAAAAGATTGTTTCAGGATTATTTTTTCACACCTCACCAAAAATTGTCACATCACATTCCACTATCAGTATGTGGAAATTCATTTCAAGGGACCCCCATGCCCTTTTAACTTTGGTACCCTGTACACCATTCCCCTCCAGCAACCTCAATTCAAATCCAAGGTATGGTTCTGAGTTGTTGGTTTCGTCTATTCCCTTGCTCTGTTTCTTTTGGGGTTCAGGGGAGCAGTGGGGGTTAGAGCCATATCTGGCTGTGCTCAGTGGCTACTTCCTATGCTCAGGGGTTGCTTCTGGTGGTGCTCAGGGAAATTTATTATAGTGAGGATTAAAACCAGAATTCCCTTATGCAAAAATCTGCTTTGCATGTGCCTCAGTTCCATTGAGCATCTCTGACCTGTTTTCTTTCTTTTTTTTTTTCCCCTTTATTTTTATTTTTTTTTAATGTTGTAGATTTACAATTTTTTGTGCTTGGATTTCGATTATACAATGATCAGATACCCATCCCTCCACCAGTGCCCATTTTCCACCACCATGGATAATATCCCTCCCACCCCCATCCCCCCATCCCCCCTGTCTCTGTGGCAGGGCAATCCCCTGTGTTCTCTCTCTTCTTTTGGGTGTTGTGGCCTGCAAAAGAGGCATTGAGTGGCAAACATGTTCAGTCCATAGTCTACTTTCGACATGCATCTCCCCTCCTGGGAGGATCCTCCAAACATCCTTTATTTTCTGACCTGTTTTCTTGATGTGTGACATAGATCACCCAATATTTGTCTTCCTCATTCTGATTTCTCTTAGCATTTCAATTCTATCCATATAATAGTAAATAATGTCATCTTTTACAACTGATTATATTCCATTGTATATACACCACTTCTCTATCCATATATACATCAAAACATTGAGTTGTTTCCAAATCTCAGCTAGTATAAATAATTCAGAAATGAACAAAATGTAAGTTGTGTTTTTATATTCTTCAAATAGAAACCTAAAAATAAAATTGGTCGAATTATTAAATCTTTCTAAAGGGGCCATAGCAATAGTGCAGCAGGTAGGGCATTTGCCTTGCACTTAGCCAGCCCGGGTTTGGTCCCCATCATCCCTTATAGTCCCCCAAGCACCATCAGGAGTAATTCCTGAATGCAGAGTCAGGAGTAAGCCCTAAGCATCTCTGGGTGTGACCCAAAAAGAAAAAAATCTTTCTGGAATCTTAAATTTTGGGGGGAGATAAATGTTGAGGGGGGCACTCCTAGCAGTGCTCAAGGGACTGCTGGGGATATCATATGTGGTGCCAGGGATCAAAGAAGGGTTGGCTGCATGAAAGACAAGTATTTTATTTATTTATTTATTTTAAATTTTTATTAGTGAGACACCATGAGGTACAGTTGTAGACTTACAAATTTTTGTGCTTGGGTTTCAATTATACAGTGAGCAAATACCCATCCCTCCACCAATGCCCATTTCCCACCACCACGGATCCCAGTATCCCTCCCACCCCCCCATTATCCCCATCCCACCCTGCCTCTGTGGCAGGGCATTCCCTTTTGTTCTCTCTCTCCTATTGGGTGTTGTGGTTTGCAAAAGAGGCAATGGGTGACAATCATGTTTGGTCTGTAGTCTACTTTCAGCATGGAAAGACAAGTATTTTAATCCTTGTTCATTCAACCTGGTCTCTGAGTCTTGAGAAGTTTCTATACTGAGTTACAAAGGAGCAGGATTAGATTACATTGTACAGATGATGTACAATGCTTCTTTTTTACCTATAACTTTACCAACACTTGTTAGTTCTGGTCTTTGTGATAGAGATCATTATCACAGAAGTGAGGTCATATCTCATTGTAGTTTGATTTCAATTACTCTGATAATACCTGATCATAAATATTTTTTCTGGTGCCTATTGTCCATTAGTATAACATTTTTGGAAAAGTAGATATTCTGTTATTGTACCCTGTACTTTATTTTAAAGAGGTTCCCAGTGTCCCCAGATTTGCTTTAAATACTTCCATAGCTCTCAGTGATCCTTCTGCTCTAAAATCAAGCAAAAAAAAAAAAAAAAAGAAAAGCAAGATCTGGGTTGAGTAGTACAGGGTACGAAGGTTAAGGTACTAGCCTTGCATGAGGCCCTCCCTAGTTCAACAGAGGTAAAACGTATGGTCCCAAGTACTGTCAGGAGTGACCTCTGAGCACAAAGCCAGGAATCCTCTCTTAGCACAGCTGGAATGTGGCCCACCTTTTCCACTCCCAACAACAGCAACAAAACTAGGTCTTATGTTCTGGGTGAGCAAGCAGCCCTTCCTAGTCTGTTGCTGTCTTCCCCACTCTGGCTATTCCAGTCAAAATCTAACCCAGGAAGGGCAGAAGAGATTTTAAATAAATGGGCTGGAGCAATAGTTCAGTGGGTAAGTTTTTTGCCTTGGAACTCAATCCAAGGTTCAATTCCCAGCATCCCATGTGGTCCCTCAAGCACCACCAGGAGTGATTCCTGAGTTCAGAGTAACCTCAGAGTAACCCTCTGTGCATTGCCAGGTGTGACCCCAAAACCAAAAGGAAAATAAAAGAAATCCATTAAGTGGGGATGTAGCTCTGCAACAGCCTAAGTTCCATTCCCTGCACTGCAAAGAAGAAAAAACCCACAATACCATACAAGATGTGGACATTGCCTAACTTGCCAAACTTATTTTCCCCATTCAACTGAGGATACCCGATGAGCTAAACCTATATAACAAGAATGAATTATAAGAATTTCCAGAAGGGGGAGTTCCCTGGCTGAGCTTCTAATGTGGGAGGAGCCATCTGTGGACTTCCTGCAGACGTGGTCACACGACTTGAAAGTAGGGCATCCTTGGCCCTTCTGAAGTGGTAATTAGTGGCAAGTGGATAGCTTGTACGGTGTGTTCAGATGACCTTCACTTGAAAGAAGTGCACCTCCACTGAGGCCTGAGCCGCCTGACAGCTGTGTGACTTACTGTAATATATGTCATCCTTCTGTCATGGTTGAAAGACAGTATCAATGAACTGTTGAAATAAAAACCTGGTTCATATCTCAAAATTCAATCAGAAAAAAGAAATGCAGAGGAATAAATTCTTTGGATCCCAAAGGGGTGCGAAGCTTTGGGGAACTGTGCCTACGAGTTCACACGAAAGAAAACAACCTGAATGCTGGTTGAAGCTGCTGTCTTTCATATTGGATATTGTAGTCCTCAGACGACTGGTTATTTTTACCCTCTGAACTTAGAGAAGAGGTGAATTCTCTACCAGTTGCTGACTGAAAGGAAGAGCCAGGCCCCAGTTACAGTGTCCTGAAGTGTTGAAGGAGTGGAGTTCTCTAGCAGTGGTTTCCATATGCTGCTCCACCAAAATGTTTTACAGGTCCTAGAAAAGGTCATTGTGCTTATACATGGTCCACCTCAATCGTGTGAAACTACTACAGTGTTCTTAGAATACATGAATGTTTTTCTTTTCTCTTACTTTGTTTTTAGTCCACACTCAGTAATGCTCAGGGGTTACTACTCTTGGCTGTGTACTCAGGAATTACTCCTGGCGGTGCCATATGGGATGCTGGTGATGGAATCTAGATCAGCCACCTGCAAGGCAAACGCCCTACCTGTTGTACTATCACCCTGGCCCGAATTTTTTTTTTTTTAAATTTCCAGAAGGATCTATTTTCTTGGCAAACGCTATTCCTACAGTCATTCTACAGCTGAACACATCCCCAGCCTGGAAAACTCAAGGTCTTTCCTTCTAGGACTTCCGGGAGAACTTCTACCTATCATTGATTCAAAAGTTATCCCTCCGGAAACGCTTCCAGACATCCCTTTCCCTAGAAATAAGACGCTTTATTCACTTGTGAGCCAACAGCGCCCGGGATTTTCATGCACCGTATTCTACGCATTATAATTTTTTTACAAATTCTATCTCCCAGCCTAGAAAGGTTAAGGAGACCCTGGAGGTTGGCGAAGAAATTTCTGTTCACTTTCTTTTCCTCAGCGTTCTTCGGCACGGTGCCTGGCACTAGGCTTGCACTCGGTAATGGTTAGTTACATGAACACTTGTCACGGTTGAGTCCGGGGATAACGGGCAGATCCCACGGCCTTTGGCCTGCGTGGCAGGGAGGTGTAATCCCACCCTCCCGCGCGGTGATTGGTTCCTGCTTCAGGGGTGTGTCCGGGCCCGGGCGTCGGGAAAGTGCGCAGGCGCGGGGCTGGCGCGCGCAGGCGCACGAAGGACGTAGGTGTGAGTCGCTTCTGGCGGTGCTGGAGCCACCGAGGCCGGAGAGGAGTGGCCGGAACTGCTTGGTGAGTCTCCAGGATGGGGCCGAGGTAGCCGGCCGGTAGGAAGCCTGGGGACCTTTTCCCCAGAGGGCAAGAGTATTTCCTAACACTTGGGGGAAGAAAATGGGTGGGCGGTTGGTCAGGTTTAGAGGGTGGCTGGTAGGCTCTGGGCGGTCGGGCCCGCCGAGAGGACGCTGGGCGCCGGACTCGGTGGACCTGGGGTGGCAGGATGGTGGTTTTCTCTACCTGTCCCTTAAAACCGCGCAGAGGAACGCGCCCACCCTCATCCCAGCGTCACGGCATTGCTCTGGGCAGGGTTACTGGGCTCGGTGGGACCCCCAGCGACCAGGTAACGCGGGACGAGGCGTTTGGAAAGGTCTCCGGGGTCCGCGGCGCCGCGGTCGGGCTGTGCTCTCTAGGAAAGCCCAGACTTGCCTCCCCGGCTTTTCTGTCTGCACTCAAGGAGGAACCGCCCGAGAATGAATTTCGCAATTCGGGGTTGGAGTGGTGGGTTGGAAAGGGCTGGTGTCACCTCGACCGTAGGCCGCCACGGGCCTCAGGGAAAGCTGTCGAGGGCTGAGGAAACAGAAAGACACCAGAACTGGGGAAAGATGAGGAGAAAGGTGTATCATGTCGTTTTCTACCTGCCATGTGGGTGGGCTTGGCGACTGGTAACTTCTGACAGTTTCTCTTACCCTAGTGAAAATCATGGACCTGAGTAGCAGATACTTCAAGAACTGAGAGAGATACTGGCTTTTTAATGACCCAGTAAGACGTGGCCAGATAGAAATGTTTCTCTCACCACCTTGGCTAGTGTGAAGTATAATCATACTTAGCTACAATACTTTTAGATGTAATCTTAAAATATCTCATAGAAGAAATGAGGAAAGTATTCCTGCTCCCAGCAAAATTGATACCAAAGGTATCACTTCCCGTTTTCTTTGGCAAGAAGTAATGAGATAGAACACATTCACAGAAATATTAGAAAAATATTAGGAAAAGAACTCACATTGCTGTGTTCGTGTGACAAGTCACACGAAGTAAAGAAAATAATCGTAAAATACAACCTTCTGGGGCCAGAGCTATCGTACAGAGGGGAGGGCATTTGCCTTGTATACGGCCAACCCGGGTTCAATCCTCGGCATCCCATATGGTCCCCCAATCACCGCCAGGATTAATTCCTGAATCAGAACCAGGAGTAACCCCTGAGCAGCTGGGTGTGGCCCAAAAAGGAAAAAAAAAACCCAAAAAACTCAAAATACAACCTTCTACTCTTCTGAGTAGACTCAGCTTGAATAGTTGTCTTGCTTGGGTTGGTCCCTGTGGATATGATATATAAACTTTCCAGACTAGGAATGACTATGTATGCTTTGCATTTTTCTTTTTCCTTTTCTTTTTCATCCATTTCCTCCCTTTCATTTCCCTTCTTGCCTCGCTTCCTTGTACCCAGTGGTGTTGGAGTGTTTGGGAGTTTGGCATGTGATGTCCCAGATAGAATCTGGGTTTCTTATATGCTCAGCTTATCGAACTATACTTCCAGCCCAGCCATTATTTTCTTAATATTAGACTTTTTCCTGTGTACAGAATTTTTGCATGCATCTTAGTGTTTGTCTTATTTACTCAAAATTAATTTAAATTTAGAAACAAATTCACTTGGCTAAAGATCACATCTCTTTTGGAGGAGGAGGCATGCCCAACAGAGCTCAGGATTTACTCCTGGTCAGAGATCACTCCTCATGGGCTCAAGGGACCATATGAAGTGCTGGAATCAAGCCCCAGGTGCAAGGCAAGCATCCTATCCACTGTACTATTTCTCTGACCCAGAGGATCACAACTGTTTTAAGATTCAGGACAACCCTGAACCAAGAAAGCAAACAAATGGAAAAACAGGTTCTGTTGCTTATGGGACTTTACTTTTTCCAGTTTTAAGCAAATAGTGTCTACCCCCACATTGGTGCTTTGCTTATCAAGAACCATATTGCCATTATTGCAAACTACAACACCCTAAAGGAAAGAGAGAGCAAAAGGGAATGCCCTGCCAGAGGCGGGGTAGGGGGGATGGGGTGGGGGAATGAGAGGGCTACTGCGATCATTGGTGGTAGAGAATGGGCACTGGTGGAGGGATGGGTACTTGATCATTATATAACTGAAATCCAAGCACAAAAGTTTGTAAGTCTGCAACTGTACCTCATGGTGTTTCACTAATAAAAAAAAAAAAGGAACCATATTGCCATCATGTTGCCTGTTAGGAGATCATCTTTTTTTATTATTTTACTTCTTTTGTAGAGGGTCAATCACACCCAACAGTGCTCAGGAGCTACTCCCAGTTTGGGGTTACTCCTGGTAGTGTTCCTCAGCACCTCCCACGTGGTGATTAAGCCTAGATCTGTGATGTGCATAACATGCACACTTGCTCTTTGAGCTATGATCCCAACCCCTGAAGTCATGACTTGTTCTTGCTCTGCAGAATCTGGAAGATACTGGCCTGATTTACTTTAAGATTAAATGAGTGAATCTAAGTCCAGTGTACCTCACAATTCTGTGAACCCCTGTGTTCGTTATTGTGGCACAGTTTTAGCAAATTACCAACCTGGCATAGCCAGATGAAAGTGGATGTTTGCTTCTTGACATTTTTGGAAAGTCAGCTGTCTTTTTTCCTTCCAGTGAATTAAGTTGCTTTTCCTCTCCTCTAATTTCTAAGGAAATCTTTTTTAAAAAAGCTGTGTTTGTCCTCTACATTATACATGTTCACATTTATTAAATATGAAATACTTGCATCCAAGAGTGCTGAAGTTTTTTATTCTACTGCCATATTTGGTTTTCAGGTCTGTATATTGACAGAGGAGTAAATGACAGGAACTGCTCATTTATTTAGGCTGGTGGTTAGGAACTTAAAACAGATGGATTCAGCACCTCTAACAATTGAAGGAAGTGGATTGTGAAGTCAGGAAACAACATGTACTGTTCTGTTTATAATATTAGAGATCAAGGTTGGGCTGTTCTCATTTAAATTCAGTGACATTTATGTTTTGATTTTAGCTTCAGGTATTTCTGGAAAAATATTTAAATTGCTGATCACAATAGTTTTCTTCAGTCCCCTCATGTTGTTGGTATTGTAAATTTTTAACATTTATTTTGGGGCCTGAGATACAGTACAGCTAGTAAGTCACTAGCCTTGCACACAGCTGACCTGGGTTAGATTCTTCGCACCCCATGTAGTTCTCTGAGCCTTATCAGGAGTGATCCCTGAGCATAGAGCAGGGAGTAAACCTGAAGTACAGCTGGATATGCCCCTCCCGTCACCCCCCACAAGACAGGGCTGGAGAGGGTACATCAGGCAAGGTGTTTGTTTTGCACTCAGGTCATGGAGGTTCAGTCCCTGGTACAGCATATGGTTTCCCTAGCCCCATAGGAATAAACCAACCCCTGAGCACCACAAGTTGTAGTACTTTAGCACTGTCCTCCCCTTATTCATTGATTTTCTCTAGTGGGCACCAGTAACATCTCCATTGTGAGACTTGTTGTTACTGTATTCGGCACATCAGATACTCCATGGGGAGCTTGCCAGTCTCTGCTGTGCGGGCGAGATATTCTCGGTAGCTTGCCAGGTTCTCCGAGAGGGGCAGAGGAATCGAACCCGGGTCAGCCAGGTGCAAGGCAAACTCCCTACCCGCTGTGCTATCGCTCCAGCCCACCACAAGGTGTAGCCAAAAAAAAAAAACTTTTTGATATTATGACAATTGAGGTTACCTTTAAGTGGTTCCTTGTTGCTTATAATCAAACATCCAAACTTCCTGTTCTGGTATGATAAGTTCTTCACTTTATTCTTCCCTTCATCTGTTGTCTCCCTCTTTCTTTAAACATACACATCTCTCCCCACTACATCCCTCCCCACCTTGTATTTCTTCCTGACTGTTGAGATCTTAAATTGTGGCACTTGTTTGGCAGTCTTAAGTCATTTTTATTTATTTATTTATTTATTTGCTTTTTGGGTCACACCCAAAAGGGTTATTCCTGGTTCATGCACTCAGGAATTACTACTGGGACCATAACGCTCCAGCCCCTTAAGTCTTATTTAGAGTTGTATCAGTACTTTGGCTTTTTTCATTGTTGTTTTCAGGATCTTTTGTTTTTTTGTTTGTTTTGGTACTCAGGAGTTATTCCTGTCTCTGTATTCAGGAATCACTATTGGTGGCCTCAGGGGACACTATGTCTGCTGGGTTGAACCTGGACTGGCCATGTGTAAGGCAAGCACACTACCTGTGGTACTATCTCTCTGGCCCAAGTTTTGGGGATGTTTAGGGGGATTGTGGCCATGTCCATTGGTGTTCTGGGGCTGCAGTAACTCTGTACTTCGCAGACCATGTACATGTGATGTGGTCCTGAGAATAAAACCCAGACTACTCCATACAAAGCTTGTGCTCCATTGAGCTGACTCCCCAGCCCTCTACTTAGGTGTTGACTCACAAATCAAAATCACAAGGTGTATTTAATAATTATATTTAAAAACTTGAGTAAATTTATATTTTTAAATAAAAATTCCCCCTTCCTTGCTTTTCTTTGTCATGGTTGTGGTGATCTTGGGTCACACGTAGACCTGACTGTGGTTGTGGTGCTCCTATATCCCTTGGGTCACACGTAGACCTGACTGTGGTTGTGGTGCTCCTATATCAGGTTGTGGTGCTCCCACTAGCAAAAGAGGCTTACCCTCCTTTAGTTATGCTTGCACATGTGCTTGCTGAGGTTTATATTCTTTCGTTGTGGTGCTGTGCACAGTCTGGTTACTGTATTTGCTGGGGTCTTCACAAATGTAGTTGCCATGTTTGCACTTTGTCACCTGTGGTGCTTGCATACCTTTCAGCTCTGTGGGGCTCACATTGCTTTAGTTACAGGATCATAAACCTGACTGTGGTGCAGATAGAAAATTACATTGAGCTTTCGGGATCGCAGACTGCATAGTTGGCCAGGATTGGGCTTGGCTAGAAATTGAACTCAGCCTTTCTCCTTCCAAGGCTCTAAGTCAC